AGGTGAAACTGAACACACAGAGAGGGTATCAGGATGCAACCACATCATAATCAACAACCACAGTTCATTCTATCCAATTCAAGTTTATCCATGGAAGCCTTCTCAAAGTTACTGCCTCCCCAAACCAGCCCAGTTTCCGCACTTTATTAATAATGATAATCCTATTTAACATTTCTTATGAACGAGGATTGCTAGCACTGCTTACTCCTAAGTATCAGGGTAAAAGGAGCAAAAATGTTTTCAATCATAATATAAGTTGGTCATGGGGATGGTAGTAGAGCATTAAGAATATAGCTAGTGATTCTATAACTTCTTTCTATGTTGACAGATATTAACTGCAGTAGTTGGGGTAAGAATTTAAAAATACGGTAACTGTTGAACCAGTGTGTTATATATTTCAAACTAATATAAAATTGTATGTTGAGAGAAGAGGATTAAAAATGATGCCATGAGAGGTGAGACAGAGGATTCCTCCTAAACTGCATATAATTCAAAAATATTATTAATACAACTAATCCTGAAAGAGTAATAGGAAAGAGAACTGCGCCAGACTGCATACACCTGGAGAAAAGAATAAACCTCACAGAACACTACCAAAGCCATGGCCAGGTGGGACCCAGCCCTTCCCCCACTCCAACTCACCAGCAGGAGGAAGAGAAACAGAACAGGGAGGAGTGAAGGCCTGGAACTGCTGAATACCTAACTCCAGAGATCTGCTCTGGGAGCACAAACCTACATTGCATGGTGTTTTCATGATACTCTCATGATTAGGGGATTGGAAAACTAAGACAGGCAGAATTCCTGGAGAGACTGAGATTCTGGCTCCTTGTGGAAAGCGGGGATCCATATCCGGCTGCTCTGGGACAAAAGAAAGGCAGGAAGTCTGAGCAACTTCATAACAGCAAGAGGACTGCTAAAGGGGCAAGAACTGCACAGAGCTTACTACTCAGGAGAAAGGAAGGACAGGTAGACAAAATTTTCTGGGTGCACTCTGCCCAGAAGGTTGGGAACTTCCACAATCTTCAGGTGCTCCAGCTCCCTAGCTGGATACACAGCTCCAAGGACCCCCTCTGTGATATGCAGCCTATTGTGCCTTTCTCCCAGCCAGCCTCACCTGGCTCACAAACCAGAAAATACTACCCTGGCATTAAGCCAGCCAGGGTGAAGCCCAATCTCCAGCAACTACAAACTCAAAGCATAGAGGTTTATACCTGTGTGCTCGGCCCACTGGTTCTGGCAGTGGAGACAGGCAGAGCAGCCGGGAAGAGGAAACAGCTCTTTCCTCCACCTAGGCACCAATATCACTCCCCAGTGACCCCCAACATTGCTTCAGGGTCTGAGCAGCTCCAGAAAGTAGAGCTTCTGGGTACTAGAGGGTGCTATACACAAATATGAAACACCAAAGGAACCTGATTCAAAGTAAAATTATGAATACAAAATCTGAGAAAGATTCAAATGAAATTGACCTCATGAATCTTCCTGAAAGGGATTTCAAAATAAAAATCATTAACATGCTCATGGAGGTACAGAAAAATATTCAAGAACTCAGGAGTGAATTCCGGTCGGAGATCCAATCATTATGGAACGCATTACCAGAAATGAAACATACAATGGAAAGTTTTAAAAGCAGATTAGATATGGTGGAGGAGACAATAAATGAAATAGAAATTAGAGAAGAAGAATACAAAGAAGCTGAGGCACAGAGAGAAAAAAAGGATCTCTAAGAATGAAAGAATATTGAGAGAACTGTATGACCAATCCAAACAGAACAATATTCACATTATAGGGGTACTAGAAGAAGAAGAGAGACAAAAAGGGATAGAAAGTGTCTTTGAAGAGGTAATTGCTGAAAACTTCCATGACCTGTAGAAGGAGATAGTCTCTCAGGCATGGAGATACACAGATCTCCCAACACAAGGGACCCAAGGAAGACAACACCAAGACATATAGTAATTAAAATGGCAAAGATCAAGTATAAGGACAGACTATTAAAAGCAGCCAGAAAGGGAAATAAGATCACATACAAAGGAGAGCCCATCAGGCTATCATCAGACTTCTCAGCAAAAATCTTACAGGCAAGAAGGGAGTGGCATGATGTATTTAATGGAATGAAGAAGACAGGCCTCAAACAAAGTACACTTTATCCAGCAAGATTATCATTTAAATTTGAAAGAGGGATTAAACAATTTCCAGATAAGCAATAGCTGAAGAATTTACCTCTCCCAAAATGTCTCTATAGTGTATTTTGGAGGGACTGCTATAAGATGGAAGTGACCCTAACATTTAATAGCTGTCAACAAAGGTAATAAAACCATAGTAAAGAAAGTAGAACAGTTAATTACTAAGGAAATGCAAAATTAAATCAACTATCCCCAAAGTCAATCAAGGGATAGACAAAGAGTACAGAATATGATACCTAATATACAAAGAATGGAGGAGGAAGGAAAGGAGGAGAAAAAATAACGTGTAGAGGATATTTGTAATAGCATATTAAGTGAGTTAAGTTAGACTCTTAGATAATAAGGATGTTAACCTGGAACCTTTGGTAACCATGAATCTACAGCCTGGAATGGCAATAAGTACATACCTATTGATAATAACTATAAATGTGAATGGACTGAATGCACCAATCAAAAGACATAGAGTCACTGAATGGGTAAAAAAACAAGGCCCATCTATATGCTGCCTACAAGAGACTCACTTTAAACTCAAAGACATACACAGTCAGAAAGTAAGGGGATGAAAAAAGATATTTCATGCAACTAATAGGGAGAAAAAAGCAGGAGTTGTGGTACTTGAATCACACAAATTAGACTTCAAAACCAAGAAAGTCACAAGGGACAAAGAAGGACATTACAGAATGATAAAGGGATCAACCCAACAAAAAGATAAAACCTTTATAAATATCTATGCACCCAACACAGGATCACCTACATATGTGAAACAAATACTAACAGAATTAAAAGGGGAAATAGAATGCAATGTATTCATTCTATAAGACTTCAACACTCCATTCACTCCAAAGGACAGATCAACCAAACAGAAAATAAATAAGGAGACAGAGGCACTGAACAACACATTAGAACAGATGGACCAAACAGACATCTACAGAACTCTACACCCAAAAGCAGCAGAATATGTATTCTTCTAAAGTTCACATGGAACATTTTCAAGAACAGATCATATACTAAGCCACAGGAAGAACATTGGTAAATTCAAAAAGATTTCATACCACGAAGGTTTGAAACTAGAAATAAATTACGCAAAGAAAATGAAAAATCCCACAAACACATGGAAGCTTCACAACATGTTCCTAAATAATCAATGGATTAATGACCAAATAAAAACAGAGTCAAGCAATATATGGAGACAAATGACAACAATAATTTAACACTGCAAAAAAATCTGTGGGATGCAGTGAAGGTTGTACTAAGAGGAAAGTATATCACAATACAGGTCTCAAGAAAGAAGCATAATCTGATATGAACAGTCTAAATTCACAATTAATGAAACTAGAAAAGGAAGAAGAAATGAGACCCAAGTCAGTAAGTCAGTAGAAGGAGGGACATAATAAAGGTTAGAGCATAAATAAATAAAATTGAGGAGAATTAAACAATACAAAGAAGCAATGAAAGCAAGAGCTGGTTATTCGAGAAAATTAATGAAATAGATAAACCCCTAGCCAGACTTATCAAGGAAAAAGAGTCTACACACATAAAAAGAATCAGAAATGAGAAAGGAAAAATGACTACAGAAATACAAAGAATCATTAGAGAATACTATGAAAAATTATATGCTAACAAACTGGATAACCTAGAAGAAATGGAGAGCTTTCTCGAAAAATAAAACCTTCCAAGACTGACCCAGAAAGAAACAGAAAATCTGAACAAACCAACTACCAGCAATGAAATTGAATTGGTAAGTCAAAAGCTACCTCAGAACAAAAAGCTGGATCCAGATGGCTTCACCGCTGAATTTTATCAAACATTTAGTGAAGACATAATATCCATCCTCCTTAAAGTTTTCCAAAGTGCAGAAGAAGAGGGAATATTTTCAAACTCATTCTATGAGGCCAGCATCACTCTAATACCAAAGCCAGGGAAAGACACCACAAAAAAAGAAAATTACAGCCCAATATCCCTAATGAACATAAATGCAAAAATACTCAACAAAATATTAGCAAGACGAATTCAAAAAATACATCAAAAAGATCATCCTTCATGATCAAATAGGACTGATTCCAGGGATGCAAGGATGGTACAACATTCAAAAATCTATCAACATCATCCACCACATCAACAAAAAGAACAAAAACCACATGATCATCTCCATAGATGTTGATAAAACATTTGACAAATTTCCACATCCATTCATGATAAAAACTCTCAAGAAAATGGGTATAGAGGGCAAGTACCTCAACACAATAAAGGCCATACATGACAAATCCATAGCCAACATCATACTTAACAGTGAGAAGCTGAAAGCTTTTTCTTTAAGATCGGAAACAAGATAAGAATGCCCACTCTACCCACTTGTATTCAACATAGTACTGGAGGTCCTAGCCATAGCAATCTGACAACACAAAGAAATAAAAAGCAACCAGATTGGCAAGGAAGAAGGTAAACTGTCCCTGTTTGCAGATGACATGATATTGTGCATAAAAACCCTAAAGAATCCACTCCCAAACTACTAGATCTAATATCTGAATTCAGCAAAGTTGCAGGATACAAAATTAATACACAGAAATCTGTTGCATTCCTATATACTAACAATGAACTACCAGAAAGAGAAATCAGGAAAACAATTCTATTCAGATGGATCAAAAAGAATAAAATACCGGGGCTGGGCCTTGGACCGCGGGCGGGAAGAAGCCACCTGAGGCCGCGGAGGCCGAGGCCCGGCCCGGGACAGCGCTCCTGCACCCAGTGGGCCGTCGGGACCGCGGTGTCCTACCGCCCAGGAGTCGGGGAAGATGAATTGGGTCAGGGGCTGCCGGTGAGTCGCGAAGCCAGATCCCGGACACCCGTCCCCGCCGTGGTGCCTCCGCCCTCCGCTTGGCGTGGAGGCGCCGCCGTCGCTGGAGCAAACATGCCCGGAGTGGGCCTTGCGGGGGTTGCCCGGGCCGGGAAGCCGCGGCCCCGTGTCTGTTCCTGAACGGACAGCTTCCCCACGCCCCACGCCGTCTCCCCGCAGGGGTGGGCGTGGCCCAGGCCCTCCCGCGGCGCTCGCTCTGCCCTGTGCAGCCTCCGCCCATGCCCGTGCCGTGCTCGCCAGCGGCTGCTTCTGGGTTCTGATCAAGCAGGAAAGGCGAAAGCAAAAGGAATACTTTGAAAAGAAAAGGTTAAAATCAAAAATGAAATCACTGGGAGTTTTTTCCCCTGTCAAAAATTCCACTGCCAGTTTAGATCTTGTCAATCTATACATAGTAAATCAGATATCTTGCCATAAGAAAACACCTGAAGCCGTGAGAAAACCAACCCATGTGAATATGAGTAGAGACATAAAAATGCCCCTGAGAAGCATGATTTAGAACTTCCAGTATCGCCTCATTGTGTACCATCTAACCTCTGCATTGATGATACAGAAAACAATACACATCATCAAAGACTAGGCAGCAAGAAAGACTGGCCCAGTTCAGTCGTCACAAGTCATGGGCTCACACAGAATGTTCGAACCTCAGTTCAACAGAATAGAAAACTGCAGTTTCACTCCATCATCTTTTTCAGCAGAATTATCTTCTAATAGACATATTACAGAACAAAATTTCGTTCCCAGAATAGCACCTAGTCCTCAGAAAGCTGCGTATGAAGAAAAGCAGAATGAGCAGCTCAGTAATGTTAATTATTCTAATTCCTTGGTTTCCAAATTTAATGAAAATGAAGATACTCTCAGTCCATCATACAAAATAGCACAATTTGGAATGTTGTTTGAAAGATTTAACAGTCCAGGAAATAGGAATTACCCAACTGGAAGACCTGCAGTAGTGATGGATGAGAGAAGACAGTCAGACTTCATTACTGAAAAACGATCAGTACAACATATGTGGGGAGAAAATAGAAAAAAGGCTTTAGATTTTTTTGAAGATGTGAACCAGCCAACCCCCAGGCTTCTGTCAGAGAATTGTGACTCTTTTATTAGTGGAAATGTGATCAGTTTATTAAACATAGATCAGCAGAGAATAAAAAATACCTTTGACAAGTATGGTTATGACAGTATGGGAGATACTTGTGCAATCACTAGTTCTGATAAAAGCAGTTCCACTGATGGATGCATTGAAAGTATTTTTACAGATCCAGGATTGAATTTTACTAATTCTACTTTTAATACAAGTTATCCAGAAGAGTGCCATCCAAACAAGAGCCATCAGGAGTACAGCAGTAATGAAAGAAGTGCCCTTAATACATCTCAGGGTTTTTACCCAGCCAGTTCTCAAAAAAAGGGAAAATTTGAAATTGATCAAGAGAAGACACCACAGAAAAAAATCCGGCAATATCCAGTGAACCATATGGGTGATATTCCTTTGGAAGGATTGCATTCCAAGCAGTCATTGGATTTTTGACCTGGTGAGATTCTGATTGAAGGAGGAGGAGCATGTTCTTTAAAAGGCAGGCCAACATCTTCTAAGAAAATATGTCAGTAAAATTATAAGTGGATTTTATTCTTTTTAAAAAACTGACACAAGTGGAAATCAGTTAAATTTTAAGTGTTTAATTTTTGCTAGCAAATATGTTTCACAGTTATCTTAGAATGTCCTAGTAATGCAATTAACCCTTTACAATTACCTTTATCTTTTAAAAAATGCTTTTGTCTTTGTAAAATGATGAGTATATATAATGTGTACATATAGTTTAGCAAGTAATAATAAAACAGATACCCTAGTACTCAAAAAAAAAAAAAAGAAAAAAGAATAAAATACCTAGGAATAAACCTAACCAAGGAAGTCAAAGACCTATACTCTGAAAACAACAAGACACTCATTAGAGAAATTAAAGAAGAGACCAATAAACGGAAACCCCGTGCTCATGGATAGGAAGAATTAATATTGTCAAAATGGCCATCCTGGTTAAAGCAGTCTACAGATTCAATGCAATCCCTATCAAAATACCAAAAGCATTCTTCAATGAACTAGAGAAAATCATTCTAAAATTCATATGGAATCACAAAAGACCCCAAATAGCCAAAGCAATCCTGATAAGGAAGAATAAAGCTGGGGGGGATTATGCTCCCCAACTTCAAGCGCTACTACAAAGCCACAATAATCAGGACAATTTGGTACTGGCACAAAAGGAGAACCATAGACCAATGAAACAGACTAGAGAGTCCTGATATAAATCCAACCACATATGGTCAATTAATATATGATAAAGGAGCCATGGACATACAATGGGGAAATGACAGCCTGTTCAGCAACTGGCATTGGCAAAAGTGGACAAGTACATTCAGGAGAATGAAACTGGATTATTGTTTAACCCCATATACAAAAGTAAACTTGAAATGAATCAAAGACCTGAATATAAGTCATGAAACCAAGAAACTCTTAGAAGACAACATAGGCAAAAATCTCTTGAATATAAGCATGAGCAACTTCTTCCTGAACACATCTCCTCAAGCAAGGGAAGCAAAAGCAGAAATGAACACATGGGACTATATCAAACCAAAGATTTCTGTATGGCAAAGGACACCATCTACAGAACAAAAAGTCATTCTACAGTATGGGCAAATCTTTTGTAAATGACATATCCAACAAGGGGTTAACATCCAAAATATATAAAGAACTCACACTCCTCAACATCCAAAAAGCAAGTAACCCGATTAAAAAATGGGCAGAGGATATGAAGAGACAGTTCTCCAAAGAAGAAATTCAGATGGCCAACAGATGCATGAAAAGATGCTCCACATCACTAATCATCAGAGAAATGCAAATTAAAACCACAGTGAGATATCACCTCTCACCAGTAGGGATGGTCAGCATTGAAAAGACTAAGAACAACAAATGCTGGCAATTATGTGGAGTAAGGGGAACCCTCCTACACTGCTGGTGGTAATGTAAGCTTGTTCACCCACTGTGGAAAGCAATATGGAGGTTTCTCAAAATACTAAAAATAGAAATACCATTTGACCTGGGAATCACACTCCTTGGAATTTACCCAAAGAATACAAGTTCTCAGATTCAAAAAGACATATGCACCCCTATGTTTATCGCAGCAGTATTTACAATAGCCAAGATCCGGAACCCACCTAAGTGTCCATCAATAGATGAATGGATAAAGAAGAGGTGGTACATATATACAATGGAATACTATTCAGCCAGAAGAAAGGAGCAAATCCTACCATTTGCAACAACATGGATGGAGCTGGAGGATATTATGCTCAGTGAAATAAGACAGGTGGAGAAAGACAAATGTCAAATGATTTCCCTCATTTGTGAGGTATAACAATGAAGCAAAACTGAAGGAACAAAATAGCAGCAGACTCAGACTTCAAGAAGGGACTCTGGTTACCAAAGGGGAGGGGTGTGGGAGGGCGGGTGGCGAGGGAGGGAGAAGGGGATTGAGGAGTATTATGTTTAGTACACATGGTGTGTGTGGGTTCACGGGGAAAACACTGTAGCACAGAGAAGGCAACAGTGTATCTGTGGCATATTACTACTCTGATGGACAGTGACTGCATTGGGGCATGGGTGGGGACTTGATAATATGGCTAAATGTAGTAACCACATTGTTTTTTCCACATGTGAAACTTTCATAAGAGCGTATATCAATAACTCCTTAATAAAAAATTTAAAAAAAAGATTGTATATCAACTATACTTCATAAAAAAATGGCTGTGTAAGCCAAACTAAAATGTATAGGTGAGGCTAGAATAATTTGCAAGAAATAAGCCTTAAAAGTGATAGGCATTTTTTAAAGGTACTTTTGACTCCCTAAGTCTAATTTCTAGCATTGTTGTCATGTTTCAGTTAAAATATAATAAATACTATTATACAATCACTCTGATTAAATTTTAAAAAAAGGAGAAACTAATGAATTTTAGGATATTAATGATATACTTGGAGGGTTTGGTGACTGGTTCAAAATCACTATTTCTAAACATCAGGTACCAAAACAGCATTTAGTATTCTAGACTTCTAGGTAAGCATTCATTCAAGAATAAAACTCTTATCTCTTTAACTAATGTAGGGGGAAAGAAAAACCTTCTGTTCCTTTTTAAAAGGTGTCTGGTATAATTGCTGATTAAGAAAACAAAGTAAAATTTATTCAATGGCTGAAGAAATTGAGAGATTAAATTTTCTATGGAACAGCAAGGCATGCATGGTCTTTCCATATTTAACAAGAAGCATCTGTTTCATTTAAGGGATAGTATGAGTTCCTAAATACTGTAGAACACTCTTCCCTTTTGTACTCACTCTCCAAGTCCCCTGTTTATTTCCTCAATAGTGTACATTATAGGCATTTTTTAAAATGCATTGTTGTCTGTTTTTTTTTATTATGTTAGTTTTTTCCTGTCTCCCTCAATTGGAATATAAGCTATGTAAATATAGAGGTCTCATCTGACTTGTTTATAACAGCAGAATGTCTAACTTATAAAAGACAGTAAATATGTATTATATAAATAGAATCTCTACTCATACCATACTTAGTATTTCTAAAGTATGGTATTATTATTTATCATGTACTCAGTGACATACCAGCTGTACTGGAAAAAAAACTTCATTAAAAAAACAAATGTATAAACAGTTCAATCAAAATTCATACAGCAAGGTGAGAACAATTATGGAAAATTTAAAATTGTAGAGATGAAAATAACAATTATGGACATTAAAAAATCAGAGAATGTGGCAGGTACTTACTGGATTAATGAAAATTTATGGATAAATTAAACTAATAGAAAGGTTTTTGTTAATGTAGTACCATTTCTTATTGAAGTTGAGGAAAGTTACCAAAAAAACACCGTCTAAAGATTAAAATTGAGTGAATTACTTTTGCGTGTACAAGTTCACCTTGATAATTTTAAAACTCTTATAGATCATCCCTATTAAATACTTAGAGAACTGAGTTAAGTAATCTATAGTTATTTGTTTCAGTTTTCTGCAGCTTGTTAGCATAGGTCCAAGTAATAGGACCAGAATATCTAAGTTGCAGTGGTTGGAAAGATGAAATCTGAGCATCATTAGCAGTTCCAATCTGGACATCAGTATATTTCTGCAACAGATAAATTACTCAATGGGAATCATGTAGAAAATTTTGAAACTGTATTAGTTCTTTCAGGCCACTATGATATAATTTAAGATCTTCAACTGCAGTGAGTGAAATAGTATAGTAATGGTTCCTTTTTCATAAAATACACCTCTTGCCAGGCATTCTTTGATGCAAGCATATACTTTTAACCACATTATATTACCCACTCCAAAATATTCTGTTGCTTCTAAAAAGTAGTTTGTCTAAAGACCACATGGAATGTTCTCCAAAACAGGCAGGAAGAAAAGTAGTTTTAGAGATACTGAAGCAACAGAAGGAACATAAACTATGGAGTCAAACATGATGCTACCAGTTACCCGATGTGTGACATTGCGATAGTTACTTCTCACTTCTCAACTTCAATCTCTCTATTTGTTCAATCTGGACAATGATATCCTCCTTGTTGAGTTATTGTGAGGACTAGATAACACCCCCATACAGGGCCTAGTACATGGTAGGCACTTAATAAGTGGTAACTATGGGATGAAAATCTTATCTAAGTTTTAAAATTCATTTAAAAAAATAGTTGTCATAATTTTGAACTTGGTTTTTCTTATAATTTGCTAATGAATCATTAATTGTTCAGCAATGAAGCAATGTGCTAAAATGTAGAGGCAACTTGATGAATATTGGTTGCTGATGAACTCTCTCAGAGACTACGTAAATATAATGGAAATAAAACAATGAAAATGGCATGTCTGAAATCTAATGATTCACTGATGTACAACAGGAGAAATTGGGTTTTACCATTAAATCAGAAGATTTAAGCCTCAATTCCTTCAGGGTAGTCACTGAGGCTAATTAAGTTTAATATTATTAAGTGCCTGTAACAGTGCCTAAAGTACAATATTTGATGTAAAAAGGGTAAAAATAAGCTAATGCCTATTTTTAAAACTATCTGCCAATGGGTATCATAAAAATGCTAAGTGCACTTTTTTGACAAATTAACACACAGGTGATTTGTAAATTCCAAGTGGAGTTAGATGCCACCACTAAAAACATTTTAAGTTCAATAAGAGTAACACACCCCCAGCAAATTTCACTTTCTTGATGAACAATTTCCAGACTGGGAGGTCATAGATATACTATGTATTTATCATGTGGATTTCAGCATAGGTGCTTTTCATAGATCTTTCATTCGGTCTTATAAACAAAGATAACACAAAACAGGCTTGCCAAAACAAAATAAAACAGCAGTAGACTCATAGACACTAAGAAGTAACTGGTGGTTATCATAGGCGAGGGGCTGGAGTGGTGGGTGGGGTGGGCCAGGGGGATAAAGGGGCACAGTAATTCTCAATCATAATATAAATTGGTCATGAGGATAGTAGTACAGCATGGAGAATATGGCCAGTGATTCTATAACATCTTTCTATGTTGACAAATAGTAACCACACTAGAG